GGCAATAAAAGCAGTTTTCAGACAATCTGTTTTGAATGTAGTTTTTATATGCTGAATTTTATAGTATGTAGGAATCCCTTTTTTGACCTTATTAGACAGATAAAGTGAAGACTGACAGCAAAGTGAGAGGGCAAAGGGCCACAGGTCAGACTCGAACCTGGGCTGACCACTTAGCCATGCGGCATACTGGCCCCCGCTTATCCAACTGAGCTGAACTTAAATAGAACCTATACATGTTAATGGTTGAAACCTGTGATGGGTTATGAGTTTCAACCCAATTTTTGGTAACCTCAACTTTAAACATTGGTAAATTTAACTCAATTTGTGGATAATTGTCCTAACCCATTGTGCTGGGCTGAAACACGCCCAGTGCTGGGTTTGACCAGCACTAGGTTACAAATTGGGTTATTTTTAACCAACCATTTTTTAGTGTGTAGATATGCATTTAATCACTTTTATTATCAAATAAAATGCATAAACAGGAAATTGTAAAAGGCTTGGACACATTAAGGAATTTGCTGTGTTTAATGTGTAATACTGTGATTTATTTTTATTTTACCAGATTTAAATGTTACATCAGGTCATTTGAGTGGACCACAGCTGCTGTACAGAGCTAACTGTAGGTTACAGGTTATGTAACCTACAGTTTGCAGTTTCCTGTTTGTACTGTTTGAGTGTTCACTGATCTGTGAAAAGATGGATTCTCATGATACTGAGTAGAGTTATAAGTCATAATACTGGCTCATCAGTTTAAAATTGCTAACAGTATTGTCATCTAGCTCATGTGTAGCTGGATTTCTGTTAATTAAGGTTTAACCCTAATCATATATGGGCTGGTCTGAACTAGAATTTCAGGTAAATACATTTTCTTCGTTAAATGCTTATTTAAGTTGGGAATCTCAGTGTTTACTAAGATTAACATTATTTCCCTTAGTCTGTCATGTAAAATTTTGTAGATAACAATAATTTCAGTTTTATTTGGGTGTTTGTATCCCTCAGTTTAGCTCATTAGAGTCTGGAGAGTTTAGGGGATTCAATTTCACTCCATATTCAAAAGTGTGTCTCTTGATTTTGGCATCCAGTGGTGCAGTACCATTGAGTCCCCTACCAGTCAGTGAAGGTAGGGCTGCTGGCCCCAAGCTAAGATAAATGGATAGAGTTGAATTAAGACGGGCATCCAGTATAAAATGATGGTCAATTCAAACATGCAGATCATAAAGAATGGCTCTGTACTAAAATGCTCAGGGCTCAGGTTAACCATGACTGCCTCTAGTGCTGTTGGCCAACATGGTGCTGGAGACTATGCTATTTGGGGAGAGCATTCTAGGGAGGGAGCGAGCGAGAAGAACATTAGGAGTTTAGAGGTTAGAATAGGGACTTTAAATGTGGGGAGTATGACTTTTAAAAGGAGAGAGCTGGCTGATCACATGGAGAGATGAAGGTATATCTACTGTGTGTACAGAAGACTTGGATGAAGGGAAGAATGTCAGGAGCAGTTGATTCAAAATGTTCTACCATAGTGTAGATGGGAAGAGAAACTTGATAAGGCTGATCTTGAAGGATGATTATATGTGTCAGACAAGATCATGAGTTTGAAGTTGAAGGCAGTGCGTATGCTGCACAAGTTCGATATCAGTGAGAGGATAAAGAAGAATTCTGAAAGTTGCATGAAGTGGTAGAGAGTGTCAACAGTGGGCAGGGAGAAATTGGTGTTTCAAGCAGATTTCAGTGGACATGTAGGTGAAGTGAACAGGGGTGATGAGGAAGTGTTGGGTGGGTATAATGCAAATTAAGAAGGGAATTGAAAAAGGATAGATGGTTGTGGAATTTCTAAAAAGGTGGAAAACCTGTATTTCACATATCATCTTCAGCTGTAAGAGGACAAGGATGGATGGGAAAGTATAGGAAAGTATTCAAAGGATGAGGTAAGTGAAACAAAAAGTAAAAAATAAAAAGTGAGATGAAAAAGTGGGCATGAGCATTGGGAGTCTAGCGATATTGCAATAAGAGAGGTGGCAAATGCAAAGGAAATCCTTTTAGTGAGATGCATGTATGTATGTATGCAGCTGAAACGGAAACTAAGGAAGAAAAAAGGACTTGTATTCTTTGGCTTGGTAGAGAGATCAAGCTGAAAAGTGACTATAGACGAAAATGAAAAGCTGAAGAGTGATTAAGCATTGAGCCAGAAATGTACTAACAACTCTGAAAGATAGTGGAAAGAGGATCAACAGAATACTTTGAGAAGCTGATGAATAAGGAAAGTTGGGCTAAGACAGGTGATGTTCAGTAAGCAGTTGTATGGCTTTCATCCTGAGAAAGAACACTACAAATGGGATGTTTCCTTCGAGATTGTTGATAGAGAATAAGGTTAGAAAGAGTTTGTGAAGCTAGAAAATGCATATATAGGAATGAAGGACTATGATAATCTACAAAGAAGTCAGGCGCGGCAGAAAAGTATGTGCAGGTGATGTAGGACATATACTGTATATAGAGAGCAAGATAGTGTTGAGATTTACAGTAGGTGTGGCAGATTGATTCAAGATGGGGGTGGGTTTACATTAGGGATCTGCTCTAAACCCCTTCTTGTTTGCGATGAAGACTTAGAGGTTGATAGATAAGAAATAAGGCAGGAGTCTCTATGGTCCATGATCCACATGCTACTAAATAGTGTAGTGAGAATAGGTAGGGTAAGTAGAAGCAAGACAGAGAGTGGGTGGACATATGGACGGGGGTGATTTGTGACAGGATTGCAGCAAGACTGAAAGCGAAGATTTAAGAGATGGTTGTGAGAATGACCATTATGTATGGTTTGGAGATGGTCGTACTGACAAAAAGACAGCAGGCTGAGCTGGGGGTGACAGACATAAA